TTCCTGCTGGGTGAGGCTGGTTAAGGTCTTGCCTCTTCACTAGGCCTCTGACACTGTCCCACAGGGGAGAGGTAGGGACTCCTCATTACTTCAGATTGAGATGAAGTTCGTGCTCCTCATATGATCTCTAATGACCCCCTAGAGAAGGGGTCTTGTTACTGACTGGTAAGGACCAGTCCCTGCTTGGCCTTCTCTCATCCCACCTTGGAGAAGGGTTGGACACCTTGGTTCATCCCGGCAACGATGGAAGTGGGAGCGCCCCACTCAGCTCACTTTGCTGATGTGGGTGTGGGTGGTGTTTCCCTGGCATGTAGTGGTCACTGTCTAAGTGTTTTCTTTCTTGCTAGGCAATCTCTTTATTGATCCTTTGTCCAGAGAGGTCAGACAGTCTTTCTTTTTTTTTCTGAGGGGGGGAGAGGTTTTTGCTTTTAGGGCATGTGTGCTCACCAGGCAGACGGAGAGAGACAGAGAGACAGAAAGTGAGAAATCACCCCCAGGGGGGATGGCCACGCCACAATCCCTTCTCCTCCGTTCTCCTCTCGGGATCTTGGGCACGCATGCACACGCGCCCGGTGTGAGTTTTAAGCCACTGGGTCCGGGACTTGAACCACAGTCGACTACATGGGAGTCCAGCAACATAGCCATTATGCTAACTACTGGTCCCAAGAGGTCAGTCTTTCTGAGTGGCCCTTTTTTTCTGTTCCCCTTGGTGTTTCCAGGTTGCTTCTTTAGTTCCATCCCAGGGAAAACCCAAAGAAACCTGGGGAGGTCACGGCCGTGGTGTTCTTAGGTCCTGCGCTCTCTAACTGCTCTCCTGTCCTCTCCATCTGTCAGAATCTCGTGTTCTATTATATGCAGTGTCTAGAGTTCTTAGTTCTTAGTGGGAGTATTAGGGAAAACTATATCTACTCTGTCTTCTGGAAGTCAGTTAGAATTTATTTGGATATTGTTAATTTGAATGCCAGACATGCATATTAATGGAGGTGTCATGACTGCAGTTTGATGTACAAATCTAGAGTTGTGATAGTTTGTGAAAGCTCTCTTCTGATGGCTTCATTTTCTCAGAGAAGTCATCCATTGAAAATAAGGATAACAGAGAAGGCTGGAAATTTGAAGGTAGAGGAGAATGTGAACAAGATCCTAAGAGAGTAGGGGTAGGAAAGTATAATTGATAACGGCTTTAAATGTACATCTGAATCTTTGGCCCTGCCCCCCCCCCCGTTTTTTTTTTTAGAGATTTCACTATAGGGCATGTGTGTTTGCTGAAGAGACAGAGAGAAGGAAAGTGAGAAATCACCCCTCAGGGGATGGCCACACTGCAATCCTTCATTCTCCTCTTGGAATTTCAGGCATGCACACACACACGCTTGGCATGATTTTCAAGCCGCTGGGTCCAGGACTTGAACTGTATTTGGCTGTGTGGTAATCAAGTGCCCTAACCATCATGCCACACACTAGACTCACCTTCCCCAGTCTTTAAAATTGTCCTGTTCTCATTTAGCTTTCATATTCTAGATTCTGATCCTTGTCTTTTGTATTTTCCTTCCTTACCGTTAAAGGTACTTTTTTTTTTAAATTTATAGAAGGGAGTGTTCCAGTTCAAGTATCACTTAGAAATACTGTCCTCAGGACCAGCAGTTAGCATAATGGCTATGTTGCTGGACTCCCACATAGTTGACTATGGTTCTAGTCCCGGACCTGGTGGCTTAAACTCACGCCGGGCGCATGTGCGTGTGTGCCCAAGATCCCGAGAGGAGAATAGAGGAGAAGGGATTGTGGCGTGGCCATCCCCCCTGGGGGGTGATTTCTCGCTTTCTGTCTCTCTGTCTCTCTGTCTCTCTCTGTCTGGCACGCGCCCTATAGCGAAAACCTCTTCAAAAAAAAAGAAAAGAAAAGAAAAGAAATACTGTCCTCAGCTTGTTTATAGCGTCTCTTGAATTTATTGTATTGCATTTATAGTTCTTAGGTTCGTATTCTGTACTTTTTTGGTGATCTATTTGAGCCAGCATCAGCCACTACTGTTTCTGTTCTGGGATGGGGTGGAGTCTGGACAAGGATGACTGAAATCCAATCTTTTTTGTGAAATGAAAACAGGATGGTCAAGGATTGTGTGTGGACGTTACTATAGTGAGCAATAGTCAGACCTGGACCCCTGCTTTCCTTTTGATTGCTTTATACTACTTCAGTTACTATCTGGCAAAGCTGTTGTCATCTGATGAATAACTGGCTAAAAATGTGTCACTGATGGTAGTGTATTGGAACTTAATAACTAGTTCCAAGGGAAAATTACAAGGATTTAGCAGAGAGAAATGCCTAGTGAAAAATTTAAATAGATTAAAATTAGCTTGGTGAAGATAAAGTTGGAGATTTCAGTTTAATATTCTTTATTAATTCATTTCAGTTGTATCACAGACTGATTCACCGAACCAAGCTGTACATAACCCAGATGTTTCTACTCCAGATGTTAATGCTTTACCAGGTGAAAACCAAACCAAACCTGCTCCCCAATTCAGTACCACGCTCCCTCCCACAACTACGGAGAAAAGTGGGGCAGCATCTGCGACTCCTCCTCCCTCACTTACTACTCCCCTGTCCCAAGAGGAAGCTGATAACAATGAAGATCCTGGCATCGAAGATGAAGATCTTCTCACGCTGAATAGTTCTCCCTCGACAGCCAAAGACGCTCTGGACAATGGAGATTACGGAGAACCAGACTATGACTGGACCGCCAGTCCCAGGGATGATGAGTCTGAGGAGACCTTGGAAGAAAACAGGGGCTACATGGAAATTGAACACTCAGTGAAATCTTTTAAGACCCCATCCTCAAATATAGAAGAGGAAGACAGCCATTTCTTTTTTCATCTTATCATTTTTGCATTTTGCATTGTTGTTGTTTATGTGACATATCACAACAAAAGGAAGGTGAGTTTGCCATTTTTCAGCCCCTCTAGTGACCATGCGTTACCACAGGCACACTTCTCACTAGTGCTCTTGATGATGCAGGGCTTTTATCTTTTTCAGTTAAGTTTAAATTGATGGTAAAATATTGAGATGTTGAATCGGTTTATAAATCTGTTGTTTATTTTAACAAGTTACAGATAGGATGCTTGAGATAATAGTTTTTTCTAAATCAGAAGTAGTCAAATTATCTTAAGAGCAAACCAAAGCCCAATGATTCTTTTTTGGAGATGTTTTTGTGTTTTTGAGAGGTTTTTGCCATAGGGTATATGCACTGGCCAGATAGAGATAAACAGAGAGACAGAAAGCGTGAAATTACCCCCCAGGGCGGATGGCCACGCCACAATCCCTTCTCCATTTTCCTCTCTGGATCTTGGGCACGCATGCACATGTGCCCGGTGTGAGTTTAAGCCACTGGGTCCGGGACTTGAACCACGGTCGACTACATGGGAGTCCAGCGACATAGTCATTACACCAACTGCTGGTCCCGATTTTATTTTTTTGGAGAGGTTTTTGCCATAGGGTGTGTGGGTTTGCCAGAAGGACAGAGAGAGACAGAGAAACAGAAAGCGAGAAATCACTTCCTGGGGGGGATGGCCATTCTGCAAACCTTTTCTTCCATTCTCCTCTTGGGAATCTTAGGCACATGTGCACACGTGCCTGGCGTGAGTTTAAGCAACTGGGTCTGGGACTCGAACCATGGTTGATTACATGGGAGTCCAGTGACATGGCCAATACGCCATCTGCAGGTCCCAAGCCCAGTGATTTTTTTTTTAAAAAGCTTTTATATCTTAATTTAACATCACTCTTTCAATGGGAATACGTATAGAGAGAGTTAATTTAGTACTTTTGCCTTTTAATTTATTAAACAAATGAGTTTAATGATTTTTTAGTAACTTTTTTCTGATTATAAAAGTATCGCATGTTGGGGGCCAGTGGGTGGCATGGTGGTTGGGGCACTGGATTCCCACATGGCCAACTACAGTTCAAGTCCTAGACCTGGTGGTTTGCTTTCTCACTTTCTCTCTGTCTCGCTGTCTTTCACTCTAGTCTCTTGTTCTCACTCTTTGTCTCTCTCTGGTGAGTGCATATGCCCTATAGCAAACTTAAAAATAATAGCAATAACAATAATAAATAATAATTTAAAAAAGTATTACATGAGGCCAACAGATAGCATAGCAGTTACTTTGCTGGACTTCCATATGGCTGACCGTGGTTCAAATCTCGGACCTGGTGGCGTGAAACTCATGCTGTGTGTGTGTGTGTGTGTGTGTGTGTATGTATGCCCAAGAGCCCGGGAGGAGAAAGGAGGAGAAGGGACTATAGTGTGGCCATCTCCCCTGGGGATTGATTTCTTACTTTCTCTATTACCGTCTCTGTCTCTCTACAGCAAGTGCACATGCCCTAAGGCAAAAACCTCTTTTGTTAAAAAAAAAAGGGTATCACATGTTTATTTTAGATATTTCAAAAAACACAATAGTGTTTAGAAAGTAAAATTTAAGCTACTACTCAAAACATTAGCATTTTATTATTTTTTGTTCTATAAAATATGTATATAGTTCACACATATGTATATGTTGATGAGTTTTATCTCATGTAAAATTTTATATATTTTTACCTAACACATAATGAACACTGCCCATATCATTAATATCCTTTAAAAATATGATTTAAGGGGGACCAGCAGTTAGTGTAATGGCTCTGTCGCTGGACTCTCATGTAGTTGACTGCAGTTCGAGTCCCGGATCCAGTGGCTTTGAAACCCCACCCGGGGTCACGTGTGCGTGCGTGCCCAAGATCCCGAGAGGAGAATGGAGGAGAAGGGATTGTGGTGTGGTCATCCTCCCTGAGTGGTAATTTCTAGCTTTCTGTCTCTCTGTCTCTCTCTTTCTAGCAAGCACATGCACCCTATAGCAAAAACCTTTAAAAAATATATATATGATTTAAGGGGCCAGTAGGTGGCATGGTAGTTAAAGTGCTGAACTCCCACTTAACTGACTGTAAGTCCCAGAACTGGCAGCTTGAAAAGCTTGCCAGGGATATATATGTATATACTGCAAATCTCAAGAGGAGAATGGAGGGGAAGGGAGTGTGGCACGGCCATCTCCTCTTGGTGGTGCTTTCTCACTTTTTCTCTCTCTGTCTCTTACTGGGGAGCGCCTGTGCTGTCTGGCAAGAACCTTAAAATATATATATATATAAATAAAATAACCACATAACTGATTCAGTTGCTTCCTATGGGGTATTTAGTTGATTTCCAATTGTTGGTTCAAAAATAATGTTGTGATGAACATTTCTATGCTCGAATGACTTTGTTGTTTACGTGAGGCAAAGGAGGAATAAGCGGGGCTGTATTTAGTGTCAGGGTGCTGTTTCTCATCGCTGGGTTGTACCAGAGCTGAATAATTAAGCCTTTCAGACTACTGAAAGTAAGATCAAACACACAATTTTCCTTTTTCTTTCTGAAGAGGTTTTTGCTATAGGGTGGGTTCACTCACCAGAAAGACAGAGAGAGACAAAGAGACAGAAAGTGAGAAATCACCCCCCAAGGGGGATGGCCACACTGCAATCCCTTCTCCATTTTCCTCTTGGAATCTTGGGCATGCATGCACATCCATCCAGCGTGAGTTTAAGCCACTGGGTCTGGGACTCGAACTGTAGTTGGCTATATTGGGAGTTCAGCAATATAGTCATTACACCAACTGTTGGTCCCTCACAGTTTTCTTTTTAATACTTCCTAGTCAGGGAATCTCCTTTCTTTCTTTTCTTTTCTCTCTCTCTCTCTCTCTTTTTTTTTTTAAGACTATAGGGCATGTGCACTTGCCAGAAAGACAGAGAGACAGAAAGACAGAAAGGGAGAAATCACACCCCGGGGGCGGGGGCGGGGATGGTAACATAGCCATTATACCAACTGTTGGTCCCGGGAAATCTCATTTCTTGACTTCACCGTCTCTTACTTTGTGGTATCTTGCTAGCCGTCTGCCCCTTTAGGGCTTTGCTTTTCTTTCCTGAGAAACTGTAAATTAGATCCAGTTTTAAAAATCAATGAATCTATTAATAGTTACAAAACAGCAAAACAAACATACTTTTCTGGTTATTTATAGTTGGTGATCTGTTGCTAGTTTTGTAAGTACTCATAGGAGATGGAGTTTTGAGTGCTAGTAACATTGTACCCAGTGTTCAGTGTTGAGCCTTCTCTTTTGTGAGCAGCTATGGGACTTGGGAAATGCGCAACAGTTGTTGGATTCCGTCATAGGGGCTAACTCAGTCTTTGAAGGTAGAGCCCCGGAATCTGGATCTTTAAAAAGCATTCCTATGTCCATTGAAATCTGAGAAACACAGTCTAACCTTATTTAAAGATAAAACACAAATGATACTTTTATTTTTCTCTTTTGTATTGAGATTTATTGGTTGTGTTGAGGATCAGTACAGACATTTCAATTTGTACCCAATTCTTAACATTCGTACCACAAATTTAAAAAGCCAAGCATAGTGATTCTTTTTGAGTTATTCCAGTGACATTCCAGCTTCAAATCTGTAGGCAAATTTTCCTTAAGAGGATATCAAGAACCACTGTCTTCAGATGTTGAAAGCTGTTATATACGTCCCACCAAATCACAATTTAGTATCATACACATTACATACTCAAATTTCTTTTTTTTTTTTCTTTTTTTTTTTTTTATTTTATTATCATCATAATCTTCTTTCTATTACACTAGATTACATATAACTTTACATTGACTTCCATTGCTTTTTCAAAATGGGATGCCATGCATGTCAGTCAATACAGAGATATCAATCTCCCCGCTTTATCATTCAATATCTTTTCCATGCTTTTCCCAATAATTGTTATTATTATTTTTTTTAAACAATCAAT